TCACATTCTTGTAATCCAGATTGATTGGTTTTTTGATAGATAATTAGTGAAGAAGCAACAGGGTCTAAAGAGTGAATCTCGTAGTATTGATCAAAGAAGCATTGAGAATGGTGTTAATGATATTAGACCAAGAAGAAATAGAATGGAACTGAAAAGTACGAAATGATGAGGAGATAAAAAAAAAATAATAAAGAAACAAAATGAAAATATCAATCATAAGAGTTTCTACTTCACAGTGGTTGTTGGAGAACAACTGGTCTTTCAAGTGTGCTGCCATTTTGTCGATTTCCTGTTTATGTGTGAAATTAACAGATGGAAATAAATTGTGTAAGTGACAATTATGTGATGACTAAGTGCGATTGAGAGGCTATTCCAACGAAGAAATAAATTTGGTGATTTTATTTTCAATAGCAAAATAGAACAAGAATTCACAATTAAATATCATTGTGTGTGGAATCTGGTCTGCTGCCTCACAGATTCTTGCTAAAATCCAGTAACAAATCTGCAATATTATCCATTCCGACTTGGTATCCTGGATATAATTCAGTTTCCCACCCGGTATGGCGTAGCTTTGCTGTCTTTTCTGTACATATTTCCACAGTAATTGTTCTGGTGACATTTCCTCATCGGTACCCAGATTTTACAATTTTAATCATACTACCGTTGAATTTTAAATATTTTTCGCTTTTATTTTCTGATAATGCCGCGTATAATAATTTATACGTCTCTCTCTATATATAAAATCGGCACGTTTATATATGTGCATAAGAAAATTCAAAATTCTTTTGAAAATATTGGTATTGTAAGGTTTTCAATTCATGAATAGTAAATAGTTTTCAATTAATAATATAATCTAAAAGCGTCAAATTAAGACATTCATAAAAAAAACATAATAAGATATTTTAATTAAAATATAGTGTATAAAATATAATATATAAAAAATAAAACAAATTTCTTAAGAAAATAGTTGACATAAAAATATCTTATTTATAAAAGCAATTCAAATTAAATAATGTCTTAGTTTTATTGTATTTGTTATTTTACGATTCGGGGCAGATTTTTGGTAAATGTGTTAATGTTTGAAAAGAAGAAAACTGATGATTTACATTCTCCAAGGTGTCCTACTTTTAACTAATATAAATATGAAATGAGACAAAAATCAATTTCTGGAAATTTTATTATGTAATGTGGGAAACGGAGGTAAAAAAATATTTCTACCAAAATCTAAAAAAGATTCATAAATAGTTTCATTCATTTCTGAATAATACCTGAAATTTTCATTAAAATTCAACAATTATTTGTTTTTTTTAAGAATTTCCAAAACATCATTTTTTTTTACCGCAAAAAGAACGTTAAAATTTTCTATACTAATCTTTACAGTTCAAATGGATTGGTGTAACTGTAGGTTATATACTTGTAATTGTAGGTTCTATAATTGTAGGCTCTATATTTGTAGATTGTATACTTTTAGGTTCTATACTTGTAGGCTCTATACTTGTAATTGTAGGTTCTATACTTGTAGGTTCTATATTTGTAATTGTAGTTTCCATATTGTAGATTCTATACTTGTAATTGTATGTTCCATAATGTAGATTCTATACTTGTAGATTCTATATTTGCAACTGTAGGTTCTATATTTGTAACTGTAGGTTCTATATTTGTAGTTTCTATAATTGTAGGTTCTATACTTATAATTTTAGGTTCTATACTTGTAGATTCTATACTTTTAATTGTAGTTTCCATATTGTAGATTCTATACTTGTAATTGTAGTTTCCATATTGTAGATTCTATACTTGTAATTGTAGTTTCCATATTGTAGATTCTATACTTGTAATTGTAGGTTCTATACAACCTGTTTCTTTTCTCTCTTGTGGAATTATGTTACAGTTTCTCATTCCTTAATGTTTATTTGTTTCATTTTTTTTTCACATTCATTAAACCCGTGCACCTTAATCGCTTTATTGTCTTGCTTGGGGTGAAATTATTTTATAATGTAAAATTTATATAATTTTTACACAATTACCTATTAACGAAACTGTATTACTACAGGTTTCATTACGTTTTTTTTTCAACCTTTCTTAAATGCAGTATCCCTTCAGAACAAAGGGTGTCGTGGCTCTCCCCATTATTTTTTTTATTATCAAATAATTGTTATCGGGAATGTTAATAATGAGGGTTTTTTTCTTTTGCAATAAAACAAAACAAAAAAACCCTCATTATTAACATGGGTATAGAATTCAGACGTCTCTGTCTCCAAGACTAACGTGTATACACGTGTATGAGCTTATTTCGTGTCCATTACGACCCTTGAAACTATTTGTGAAAAACCTTAGTTTATTCCATATAGTATAAGAATATTACGAATCCAATTTCTGAGCAATACTAGCAAGCCTCCGTAGTCAAATGTCACGGTACAGGGTGTCATCATGGACATATTTTATCGCAAAGAATTGGTTTTCATTCTTTTTGGAACACGGTCACCTTCAAACGGTGAGAAAATCAACTTACCACAAACAGCAAATAAGAGATTCTTCCACGCTCCTCAAATTTTCCAAATCTCCCGATCAGAGGCCTTGCTGCCGGATGTAGTTTATCATCATACCCAAAGCTAACATGATTTTCAAAACCCTTAAAAAAATTACCAGCATATAAAGCGACCCCCATTTCTTTCAGTAAAAAGCAATTGCTCTCCCCCTACAAGAGACTATATAAGGTAGTTGAAGCACAAATCTTGAGAACTTAGTCTAACTTCTGTATTTAGTACATAGCTAGTAATGGAAGAAATAAATCCATTTCATTTCGAAGACAATGCGCAGACGCCAAAGTACAAAAGCGATTGACTTAGGCCCGTCAGGCTATCTTGTCTTAGACAAAACACTTCTACAGTTTTCGTATAAGCAGTTCTCTTACGGTGCAAATAAATTAAGAAACTTTTAATCTTATATCGTGATTGTGACCACTTTGATTTAGAGTCTAGATCTAATTTGATTCATAATATATTCTGTTTTTGTTTTTTGGGGTTTTTTTTTTCAGGATTTGTACGATTTAACACCCTCTAAGAGCGTTTGCGTTTCTCCGTGTGTGTGCGTACGCGCGTGCGTAATAAAAAAATTTGTTTGTTTAATTGGGCAGAACCCATAAACAAGTCGACGGTGCAGTCATGGGAATGTGGGTGATGAATAGACGTAGGTCGCTACCAGCCCCTGGGCATATTTAGATGAACTGCCGGCTTGCATTGACTAAATGTGTTGCAGTCTGTGTGTGAAACGGTATTTCAAAAGCTATCTTTGTACCGCCATCGCCTGTGTTATTTATTACTTTTGCAGCAACAAAGAAAGCCAACACCAAATGCGACATCATTTCACGATCATTTCGTTCCCATATAGGTGTAATCATTATAATGTATTCAAAAAATATCCAACTGTCTCTTTCTATCTATCTATCTCACTTTATATTCATCACCCTCTCTAGCTCTCTCTCTCTCTCTCTTCACACACACACACACACACACACACACACACATATATATATATATATATATATATATATATATATATATATATATATATATTATATATATGAAGAAATATAGTTTTCAGGTGTGCTATATTTATGGGATAAAATGCTCAATATCACAGAGCGTATGTAAGTATAAAAGTGAAAATTGAAATCAACATTCAGAGGCGACAGGCTGTTTCATGCTAGCCGCAATAGTCAGCTGGCTTATATATATATATATATATATATATATATATATATATATATATATAATATATTAATGCATGTTTCATTAAATAATATAGACAAGCTTATGTGAAACTTAATAACATTATCATTTAAAGTTAAAAGCAAATCACCATATTGATACATATTTAAATACAATCTAAGCTTTCGGCTTACATAAGCCATTATCAAAGATGACAATTACATTTCAATATATCAAACAACACACGGACGAAACAATAATGATAGTCTGCTACTGTTGCATGAAAAATTTCAAAGCAACTACATACTCCTGTATACGAGACGCGGAAGCGAAATCGCGTCGCAGCTCATGACGTTACACATGACTTTTGACTTTCAATGATAATGTCATTAAGCTTATCAGACAATATGAAAGGAACTTACTTAAAATAAATAGATAAAACTTGTCTATATTGTTTTATCAAACATGCATTAATGAAAAATTGCTGCCTATACACAATATATATATATATATATATATATATATATATATATATATATATATATATATATATATATATATATATATGAGTCAAAATAGATAAATAAAGTTAATGATATAAAATGACGAAATTCTTTCAAAACAATATTTTAAAGGTGCATTAACCTACAAATTACTCGTTGAATATTATAATCCTTGTTTTTTAAAATTATATGCCGTATAAGGTCTTTCTACAATACGCAAGCGCTTTCAATTGTACATTCAGTCGTCCTCATTCATGGAAATTATTCTGTATTCGTTAACAATAACACATTTAAAAAAAAAAATTCAATTCGCATTTAATTTTTTCGTCTGGGATGCTACCTGAATTTTACCAAAAACAAAATAATTTCCATGCATAGGATGACTGAATGTACAGTTGAAAGTGCTTGCGTATTAAAGAAAGACCTTATACATGTTATAATTTTTAAAAACAAGGATCATAAAATTAATCTAGTAATTGGTAGTTTAATGCACCTTTAAAATTTTGTTAGCGAAGGATTTCGCCATTTTATATCATTAACTTTACTAATCTACTTTTTGTATGAAAGATTCATTGTAATATAAATTGAACTGCACAACATATTTGATATATATATATATATATATATGTGTGTGTGTGTGTGTGTGTGTGTGTGTATATATATATATATATATATATATATATATATATATATATATATATATATATATATGAATTTAACTGTATCTTCTAGACTAACATCTGTCATTTTACTGTTGAAAGAGTTAAATGTAACTGCTACTTCTACTCCA